CAACGTTAATGCAATTGAAAAGACTTAAAGCTGGAATCCCACGGAACGATTAAAGGTAATTCACACTGCGTGCTTCGTGAACCGCTGCACGTGTAACGACCCTTATTTACGTAAATGTTACGTTTCAAATTTACAGTCGAGACGTGCTGGCGACAATCGGCGTTTTGGATTTTTTTTTATTTATTTCGTAATCAGATGTGCTGTCTTTTAAATTGCGGAAAATAGAAAAGATAGATATTACTTGTATTTAGTAAAGGCGTTTCTATGCAAGCGTCTCTTTTATTAGGTATCATTTGATAATTATACACCAATTAATAAGGAATAGATGACTTCAATTAACATTTCCTTAAGCTTACACAGTTCAGTGTGAAGATGCCTTAAAGGTGATATTTATGAAATGGTTCATAGTCACGCTATTTAACAATAACTCTTGTCATACATTGCTCGATCAGCACTAATTGATATCATTCAAAATTAAAACGCAACTTACAGTTATATGGGTATACCTTAACATGTGGGAAAGTATTATTATTTGTAGATATGTATATTAGGAACTGAAAACATATTTTCTAGAGATTCATAGAAAATTATCTCTTTAAAGCTGAGAGTACCTGAGGATAAATTGAGTTAACAACAATTTTACTTAATATATAACGATGCAACAAAATTTTATGTCACCAATTTCCAAGAACCAGCTGAGCCACAAATTTACGAAGTATCTGTTATAGTAAACGAGCATAATAAAGTAGGTTGCTTTAAAATTGATGAATATTGAGCAAAAAAATTTACACAGCAGTAAAACGATCGGGAGAATATTTAGGAGCTATAAAAGCCTTCAGAATCGTATTTCATGTTTTTTTTCCATAAACGTGAAGCATCTGTTGTATGAGTCGTAATAGTTAATGTCTTCTAATCATGAAGTCGTTTCAAATACCATGAATAATGCAAAATGTTGCAAAATTTATGATAAAATTTGATTTATAGGTTGAGATAAAATACGTGGTGCAGGAGCTGGAAATTAGGTCTAATGATAACTGTAAGCCTTGTAAACTGAGTTACACGAATACAGGGCGTATTTTCCTTTACTATGGATTACATTTCAATTAAGATTATGTCGTATAAAGTAACCTGGGGATATATCTGATAAGCCTAATAGAAACGTACCAAATATTTGTAATGCTTGACTCCACTTGGGAATCTCATCGCTAGAATTCACTACATAGCCTTTTTCGGGTTTCTGTACTTATAAGTTTAAATGGTGAAATTTAAGTTTGATCAAATGACATTTATTTTGTATATTCTGTGGCTATTGCACCATTCTTCAAAAATATTTTTTCTAAATATGAAAATAAAAGTAATAAAATTTTTATTTATGTTCGTTTAAATTCCGATCATGTATTGCTTAAGATTTTACCTAAAAAAATCGGTTACAATTGTGAAAAAAATAAATGAATACCGCATTTACTTCTTTAAATACATTAATTACTGAATATGTAAGAAACAACATTGATATAAAACTTCACTTTAATAAATATGAAAATGCCTGAACGATTTAATTGAACATCATTTTTCAACCGCCGGGAGATTCAATGGACAACGATATATGAAAAGCAATCCATATATATTATTATTAAACAAAGGTTCACTTGCAATCATTTATATCAATAGATGAATCGAAATATTTTTATAAAGTTCAATTAGAGCCACGAGTGTCTGTTATATCAAATAGTAATCGCCGTGACAGTGGTGCGATCGACAAACTACCGTCTGGCTGGATGCCAGTCCCGCATTACGGCCGCATGGTGGGCTGACAGGAGCTCGCATTAATAAGCCTCGTAACACTAAATTAACCAACTGATGCACCCGATACTACCAAATTATCCGCTGGATATTGATACAAGTGAAATGTTCGGTTAGAAATGCCCATGTTTTGTCTTCTTACTACCTAATAAACTATACTCGTATGTCAACAACAAGGGTACAAACAAATGTTTTTAATAACTAATTTGAACGAAACGTCTGTGTGTTTATAATTAGTTTAAGTACTATGCCGCTACATTTATTTAACTATTTTCATATGTAATCAGTCTTTCAGGTAACTCTCGTCAATTCTTAAGGTAAACAATCGTTACACAAAGTTACCGACAGTTGAAAATCATCACCTTTTGGTGATCTGATGATTTTCAACTTCAAACACCACAGAGATCTTTTTGTTCCATGGTTTGTACAATTAATATGATAATAATCGTTTTACGTTTGAATATCTTAGATATGTATAATTTAGGTTATCATAAATTTACAATTATAGAATATAAATATAGTGTAAGTTTCTTTTTGTAGTTAATTCATAAATACAAAATTATATATGCACCTGTTTTCGATATTCTATAATGTTTTATAATTGTAATAGATTGTATTAACAAACAACATTAATGTTTTAGCATGAATCTTAACAATTTGTGTTCCTTTATTCTAAGATGTCTTTTGTTCTGAAGACAGGAAACCTGATAGTGAGTGGTTACTGTTGTCCCTGAGTGACAACAGAAGGTAACAAATACATTGCTAGCATTGATGGTGGAGAAAGTCCTTGTAAATATGACTTAAAAAATACATTGTAAGTTTAACTCTTGCTTAGCTTCACATTGGCATACATAAGCGTTAATGGGCATGGATTTAGAGTAAAATACGTCGACAAAGACCTTCAGAAATAACCCTCGTCTAGTCCAAGGGATTGTACAAGAGCTTCAGGCCAGAGTAGATCGAAGGATGACGCGGTATCAATTCTGTCTGCTGAAGCTCCTCTTTTGCTTTCATTGGCTTCAACTCATCGATAGTAGGATATACGAGAAGGTTTCCAGCGCTGTTTTTCTACGAAAACCAAATTGACGGTCACTTGAAAGTTGATCATTGATTATTCAATTCATCAGCTTAGATAGAAAGAAGGTAATTTCTAGAGGTCAAAACTAGACTTTAAATTAAATTAATATAAGAAAAAAACATATCAACACTAAATTAATTCAATAGTGAAAACTGAAATCATTATTCATTTGGTTTTTAAAAAGAGAAATGAGGTATAGGTCTTGTGGATGTCAAGGATCAAACTCAGGGTAAATGTCATTGTGAAACAGAACAGATGAAATAAGACTTAAATCAGTTCATTCAATTTGTATGTCGAGAACTATTAACATCGCTGTTCAAATTTTATTAAGTAAATAAACAAAAATATAAAATAAACTTTAAATATTATTTTTCGCTTTGAATCTTACAAATTACATAATTAACGAATTAGATATTTCTATTGAATGTAAAACGATGGAGATTAACTTCTTGAACTCATGGTGTTTTCAGTTCCAATGTCATTCAAATATTATGCATTTAAAAAAAACTAAACATTTTTGTTGCCTCAAAATTTTCATAAAACTGGTTAATGTTTTTTTGATTTAGAATTAACATCCACTGTACACAGAAGCAAACAAAAACCTGATGTCAACGTCCGATGTTTCATAGAAATTATATAATTATGTATCATTAATGTATTATTATCATTAATCAAAATGAAAAATAATGATCTAGAATTATTGAAATACTTAATTTATTTAATTAACCTTTGAATTAGTTGTAGTTAAACGAATTCTAAATATATCGGTTGATTGAATAGGGTCATTCAGAAATATATATCATAAGTACAGTAAACACAACATATTCCATTTAATGTGATGTTTTAATTTGTTGAAATAAATAACCTGAATAATCACTACTTCTAAAACTGCAAAAACAATTGAAAACTAATTAAAAAATAATAATTAAAATATACCAGTAACTAATTAGTATTTTACCGTAAGAAAATATAATATTAAATACATCCTTTGTTTCCACAAAAGGAAATACTGGAACAAAGATAAAGATAGTTGAAGATGAAAATGGAGGAAAAACAGTTGCCATCATAGTGAAACAATGTTTTTAAATATTAACAAGAATTTAAATCATGATTATCGTCCCACGCTACAATCTTACCTTATACATTTATAAATAGTTTCACCAATGTCAAGGGCGTTCATATGGAAGTGATAGCTATCTCTGTATTAACACAATTCTTCGTTTATACTTCATAATTTAAAGTCAGGTATAAATTAACATTTTTATCATTGATATCGTTAAATGACTAAAGACAAAAAGTACTCAGTTTGTATGTGATCTGCAGCGCTTTCTAAAACCTATTAACACGATTCTGTACAATTGTTTCTACTTTATGTAATAATGATATGAGTTACTGAATATAAATTGAAGAACGTCACTGAAATTCAAAATTTATTGGACAAGAAAAGTCAATCGTTATGCTCTTAAAGTCCAGTTATTATTATAATGAGAATGCCTGGACTGGTCTACTACATGTCCATTGCTAATGTTACATACTTAAATGCACATAAATTCTATTTAAGTTGTAAAATTATGTAAAGATTTCTGTTTCCATAAATAAGCTAATAATTTTAATTGTTAATTTTATTTTTTAATAACATTAACTCTTTTGAATCAAAATTGCTTTTTCATATCAACTGTTACCATAATCTTTATCTGTATTATAATGCTAGTTAAAACATTCACCTACAATATCTGTTAATGTATTTTTATTAACAACAAGACCTTTCCTTTCTGCGACATTAATAGAAATAACTCTTTTTTTACCTCTTTCCTACATAATCTACAGGAAAAAATAATATCTCAAATTCAAAAGTTTTGTAGTAATAATGGAAAAAATTAATGTAGGGTTGCATTGAGTGATGCCTGAACGACATAAAAGTTTGCTTGACCTCTACTAAACGAATATATTGTGACATAACGATATGCCTTAATTTTATATAATAAAATACAATATATGATTACTTACTTTTATAACATAAATATATATATTTTTTAAAGGATCTTTGAGACGTCTTTGAGTCTTTGAATTAACTTATATTTATATTTGAGAAGTTCTTCGGACAAGTCAGAGAGAAGAAAAACTAGAGGGCGGGACGGTTCAAGAAGTGTAGATAAATTTGCTTGGCTCGAGTAATGAGATTTTGAAGTGACTCCAGAGCTGGGCCATCATTTTGGAACAGGTTCGAAGTTTGAGACGTCACATGAAATTGAGCCACTTCTAGGAATGATATTGTCTGTGATAACTGAGAAAACTTGCGGCGAACCGGATATATTAGATAGTTTGAAGCGAGTTTAAGGATTTGCAAACTTAGAGTTTCAATAACCGGGGAACAATAAATTTAAATGGAACTAATAGATTCGGAAAATCTTTTAAAATGGTTATACCATTGAGAAGAGATTTAGATTAAGAAGAATCATCCATATCACCTCTTATTTATTATATTTATAACCCGAAGAATATATTCATATATTTTTGTAAAGTAATTTAAAAATAAATTTTTCGTTTAACCAACAAAATGTTGTTAAAAATTACTTTATAAAGCCTTAATGGAACAAAATTGTAATCATAATGAACCCACTCTAACCACACGAGATGGAACAACATAGATTTTAATGTGTGTATATTAAGAGTCAAAATTGTATGCATTAATGTGGTACGTCACCTCGTACTCCAAAGTCTTTTATGTCAATAGCTCCCCAGCGGCGATATTGTCGAATGTTCATCGTTAATTAATAATTTCGTTGACGATGTTTAAGAGGACTTGGAATAATAAGTGGAAGATTTAACTTAAACCTCCCAACAAACTTATATATAGTTGTATGAAAGATATCAAATAGGCGTAATTGATGACTTCGCCTACATTAACTGACCTACCATTTCCATTATGTGAATAAAACTCTGGGCTTTCCGTCTCTTTTTATGTGACGATAACCACATTCTTCGACACATTATTATGTAGGACCGCCTTGTTAAATCTGGATTTGGGAAATGAATTTTGTAAATAAATAAATAAAAATCTAAATTAATACCTCATGGAAAGTTATTAATAGTTCCCTCCACGATTAAGAACCAATGATTTAATGTGCCAACAGGAGAAGTTGATTCGTCTTCTCACTTAAATAAGGAAAGTAATATCATGCATGTATAAATGTTACCTAATTTATCTTGTAGTACGGTCTTGGTGTCACATCGCACCAGGCAGAGGAGGAGGAACAGCGCCACGTGCTGCGCCATGCTGCTGCAGCCTATACCGTGCGGACCGTACGCGCTCTCCGCCGACGCATGGCTCAGGGGCGGACGTGCTACAACAAACAAACACTCATTACTAACTATAAGCATTATTCATATTACATTTATCTATATAGCTTGAATATGATAAAGTCCTAAAGTCCACTTCCTGTTGATAGTTTAAAAATCTTTATCTTCCGCATAATTTAATATCTAAAGGGAAAAGCCTTGCCAAGTCGCTTCTCCACTAAATTTCAAAAAGGAATTAACCTGGCCGGCCAGGCCGTCGCGGGGACTGTCGCACGACAGATTTTATTACGGTCATGAATAAATTCTGCCACTGGGATGTTGCCTCGCACCTCGTAAATTATAACGATGGTTTAAACCATCAGCCCGATTTACGATGTTGCTGTAACATGCTGAATTATAAACACATGGTGTACGGAGCCAGCGATGGACATTGAATTAAAATTACACTCTTGATTGCCAGCTTGAAATTGCACTAAAATGGTGTTTCTGATATGGTGTTTATCTCATAGTAAAATATTTCGCATGTATCCAGTGAATTTACGTTTATAACAATATTTAGGGTTTTACTTAGACATTATTTTTGAAATAGTATATGATATAAAAATCATTTATATACTCTTGAAAAAATTGTATCATATTTGAAAAAAAAACTGGCATTTTCGTTTTTGTACAAACCCTCTGTAAGCAGTTGAAGTCTCACGATGTAGAATTATTTGTAAAATCTGGTAATTAAGTGTGATGCATAATCATAATTTTTATGTATACACATTCAAATTGTTACATTTTTATTTCTAAACCCAAACCCTAAATGCTAAAAGAACACGTCTAATATGTCACGAACGTCGAGAGGCTATTCCTTGTCCTTAACATAAATCATCAGAGGTGTTCTGGGTTACGAAACATTTTTTTGTCTTTCATATTCGCAATTTAATTCACAGGTGCTCGGTATCTGATTCATGCCGCAATTTAATCATAATTTATTTGGTTGCTACACCCGCGCCGCCCGCGCCGCCCGCACCGGCCCCTTCACAACTTTAATATTGCTTTTTAAAATTAGATGACGTACATTCAATACATTACATCATTTGTAAATTTCTATTGTGTATCCGTGACGTCAGTTACTGTCAGTTGGTTTTGTGGTTAGATTGATTATTGACTGTTTCATTTTATGCGATTGCTTTTTGAATATAATATTATTTAGTTCATGAACTATATGTTTATATAATAGTAATAGTTTTCAATAAGTCTTGAGTGGAGTTCTCATTTGTTAGGATCTTACTTCTTTTCAGTATTTTCTCATAAATTCAATTTCGGTGTTCATTCGTCTATTTCATTTATTTAAAGTGAAAATTCAATTGAATGTTCTCTTCTCTGCTCTCGGAACATGTATGTATGTATGTATGTATGTATGTCGTTTATAAAAGTTTATTGAGTAATGTTTTTTATTATATGCTCCTTAACAATTGAGTGTAAAACATTTCGATAAATTATAAAATTATATTTTTGTTGATGTTGGTGATGTTTCATATACTTACATGTTATTAATTTTTTTAATATTTGTGGACTTTTTTCATTTAAAATTTAAATATGAATAGTGAAAAGATTATTTCAAAATAATTTCAATTAATAACAATTCCTTTAGCTCACATGTTTTAAGTGTAGATAAAAAAAGACCATTTCTGAATATGTGCAAAACATTGAAAGGAGAAATGGTTCAGAAAATACTGCAACCGCATGAAATACAAGGAAGCGGCAGTTAGTTCTACTCGATAAAAATATATTGATGGAGAACATTACGCATTGCACTGTGTTTAAATTAGTTAGATGCATTACGGTGGGAATGGAATACAAAACGCTCTAACTTGTACTTTAAGTGTATGAAAAAAAATTTTAATTTTATACAACACCTCTATATTTATTTTGTCTAGATATTTTAATCCTTATTGTTTTATTTTTGGTGATGTATGTTTTCTACAAATTACTTTTATTCCTTGGAATTTGAATATAATACATATAAATGATGATGTATATTTACACATACAAGGTGCTTTTAACGTATCTATTTTTTAAAAAATTGAAAAAAGTGTTAATAATAGATATAAATAATATTGTATAATTGAAATTGTGTGAAAGGTTTTATAGAAATAATTAATTTCTAGGAATAAACCTTGTTAATAACAAAGTACAACTACAATGATTTGACTAATAATGTATATAACAAAACTTATTTCTACAATATGGTAAATGAAATTATTTCATATTTTTGTAAGAATAAGGTTTATACTTGGGCATGAGCGGTTATTTTATAGTGATTCTTCAAATACAAAGCATACAGGAGGTTCAATGGTTGACACGACTTCTATTGATTGATCACACTAAACCTTTAATATCATCGGATTCAGCAACAGTTTTAAAGTAAGTAAACATAATTTTGTTGCTAGACTCGTTTATTAAATTAATTATATTCCAATTAACGTTAGCTATTTTATAATTATAAAACTATTTTAGTAGACTAATGGGTCTCGCCGTCTGTTTGTGGTCACACGAGTTAGCAAAGTTTTAAAGGCATTAAACTTCACGTGGCTGATCAAATTCATTTTTACTACAAAGAAGTACTGATACGTGTCTTTATTACAGACAAAAATCTTTATTTTAAGTCTCAACTATGTTTTACAGTTATTAGATAAAGATGGAAGCCTAAACGTCTAATATTAATGTAGCAACTCTATATACTACAATAAGATGTAATTGTAGCTTGAAATTATATATGAAATATCAAAATACTCTGAAGTAGTTATACAGTACATTATTTTTGCTCTTAATTTGAAATAAATTTTAATTAATTTAGTATGAGGCCATTTTATGAATATTCTATAGAGAATAACATTTTTGATGATCTATAAAGAACGAACTTGTTTTACTAATTGTCTACTAAACCATCTTTTTTGACAATATGATTATTTTTTAAATATAAACTAAAGGTATTTATAAAATCATGAAATAGATGTTCTTAACAAATCTTCATATCTACTCGTAATATGCAATAAATCATGTTTTGTAAATTCATTCCGACACCCATGATAACGTAATGAACTTAAAGATTAGCAACAAAACCTCGACCCATTCCAAGTTTTCATGTAAAAAAGTTAACTTCACTTTCCTTCATACACATATTGTAATGAGAACAGAACTCATTACCGAAGAGGCCAAAGTTTGTCCCAGCCGAGTCAAAGTTAGATAGCAATTATTATTTAAATTATTATTATAAGGAGACGTTAATTGCCTTTAATGTTAGCTTATACGTATCTCTATTATATTTTAATTAGTATAGTTTAGTAGTTTTGTTCTGTATTTTGAGTTAGAATTTCTATATTAGTAAGGAATATACTCTGTTAGTTTGTGCGACCTTGGCACATTCGACACGCGTCCATTATGAGGTTCTTTCAAACGCGTTCTGCGTACGTCTGAACACACGGAAATGATGAATAGCAAACTACTTTACCAAGCAATTTGTAGTTACTAAACTAAATGCGGATTCCATTAGTTTTTTCATTTATCAAAACCTCTAGTAAATTCGATAAATAACAACAAAGGTAGCTGCTGTTGATATTGGAAGTAACATAATAATGTATGTTGATTATAAACTCGTGTGAACATTATAATCTTTGTTATTTTCAACGATCAGACCAACAATAAGGTGGTATAATGGTGAGTGACTGGAGCGAAATAATGCGGTTAATAATTGAACAGATTCAGCCGCTTTGGCTCCCATAACCGGTCTGTTCATATCAACTGCTATTTACAATCGTGCACATAACCATTGTTTGTCTTTGTGCGCTCGCTGCATCATGGACATCAGCTGAATTTAATGGAATTCATCAAAAATAAAGATAACATACAATCATGTCCTTAACTTTGTAGTGATCTGTCAAACAAGATCTATTTCCCGACGACTGGCCTCACGATACTATGCGTTAAGATAAAACTTCTTTTATAAAACACGTCTAATGTGCGAAGTTTGTAACCTCATGAAATAATATTGTATTGTTGTAACCTAACCAAGTGTTATAACATTGTTTGAATATTTATGTTGAGATTTTGATTTTTTAATTACATTATAAAATTTTCCCCTTTACATTTAGAATACTATTGAAATAAAAAAATCTTATTTTAATCAAACATAAGACAGAACTCGGCTGCGGTAAGAGTGAAAAATATAAATAATAATCTAGTAAAATGAAAAGAAATTCTGTTATAAGGATTTAAATAGAAATTGTAAGATGAATAGGATCATAATTAAAGTGATACTTTTTATTCTTAGTTTTTTCATGAATTATTTCTTAATTGTGTATTGTTGAAATTTGAGGATTAAATTAAGGAAGAATTATTATAAAATAAAGCAAAGGGGTGGCAAAGAAATAATTACAATCAAACAATTCATCCAATTCACAGAAAATCCGTTGCCATTAGGCAATAATGTATAAATTTGTTCAAAAGAATTTAATGGTCTTCGCGAAGATCTGAGGCGAATCCTAAAACTTCCTTAAGTCAAGAAAACTTTCCTGAATCTTAATTGTTTCTGTTAAGTCTTTCGGTTTCATTTACTTTAATTTCTGGCTCGTGGCTGATATGTCTCGGAATCATGACACGCTGTTATTTTAGTTTAATTTTAAATTTTTGAAATTATAATTAAATAATAACTAGACTTTAGAAGTAAACTGTAATGTAAAAGTTTTTGACTCAATAACATATTCCGCGATTATTGAACATAATATTTTATAAGAAAGTATACGATGAAAAATTTATAGATACAAGCAAAATTCGTTCATGCAACCTCCGCAGTATTGCTTATCGAACTGAGTGAGGGTAGGGTAGTGCATCTGATCATGAGGCTACAGGTTTGGTTTTTGTTCGGGTTGATAGATTTTTCATTCTATATTTTCTTATCAAGGTTTTAGTTAAGTATAAGATATAAACCGCTTTGATGTTAAGAACATAATAAAATAAATATTTTATAATTATTATAGGAACTTAGATATAAAAAAAAGTCCTTAAAAAGGCCCAAAATAAGTATTTAGGCA